AGACGCAGAGGGAGGGGAGGAAAGCTGTGAGACATTGTTTTACCTGTATTGAGCTGAACGCATGGTCATGAACATGTGTTCCACTCAGAACAGAGTTTAAAAAAGAGAAAAGAAAAACCAATCCTGTGCTCGCGGGAAGGCCAGGATTGGAATAGCTGGGGCTGAGCAATCAGAAACGAGATACAGAGCTTGTGCAGCCAGCACTTTCCTGTACTGTGCCTGGCTCTAGTCAGCACTGTCATCCCATAGCCTTTACAATGGCGGGTATCATTCCCATTTTACAGAGAGGAAACCGAGGCACACAGGAATGCAGTGACTCGCCTGAGGTCACACAGTAACTCATTCCAGAGCTGGGAATAGCTTCAGCTCTCCTGACTCTAGACCAGAGGTTCCCAACCTTTTTCAGTCCCCGTATCCTCTTGGCTTTTAGTAAACCTTCCCGTACCCCCTATTCAATATGAAAGGAAATAAATTCTAGACTCTAGAATCCACAACTTTTTTCACTCACACTACTACTTTTGGAATATTTCAATTAGGATACTCTAGTTATTTACCAATTATTCCCCATACTCCCTTGACAAGCTTCTCATACCCCCTGGGGGTATGCATACCCCAGGTTGGGAACCCCTGCTCTAGACCATGTGGTTTGTTACTCCCAAGAGATGATGGTCTCATCAAACCGGTACTGAACAATGCGTGCAGAGCTTTGCTCTGCTCAGGCCAATATGAGAGGATTGCAGAAAGCCTAGAGAACATAACATGAAATGAATGACCCCTACATCCTTGGACTTGCAGGGAGTATTTGGCGCGAGAGGGGATTCTGGATGTCCGTTATCGTGTGCAGAAGCTTCTGGACAGCACAGTGGCATTGCCTGTGCTGGGAGAGAAACTCACGGAGCAGCACTTGCAGGCGCTGCGGGAGAGCCTGCCCCCTGAGACGACATGCACCCTGACTTGGGTCCAGGTCAGCAAAGCACTGGCTTCCTCAGCAGAAACAGAGATAGGATTTACCACTCCAGGCTCTCATGTCCTGTCTCTGCGATCGGCTGTGTCCTCATGGGTCATTGGCACGCCAAGCCCTCCCAAACGGCACTTTTGCCATTTGTACAGACAGGAGTCGAAGATGGTGAAATTCAGCTCTGACTCCTTCTGCCATCAGTTGAAGGAGAATTTACCTGAATTCCCTGGGACTAGCTTAGTCTTGCCTGGGAGCTCTGGGGTGCAGATAGACTAACACAGCTACATCTCTATTACTATTCTAGGTAGAAGAGGAAACTAGTTTCACTTTATAATCCAGTTCAGTCTCTGAGTGTTTTATTTAGGGCCCAGTACCTGCCAGCTGCCGAGCGTGGTCCGTTCCTGTGCAAGTTAATGAGAGAGGAGTCCGTTCGGCAGCTTGTGGGGGCACCTGGAACCTCACGATCAGGTCCCTTTTTCTTGGGAGGGTGGGAGCATGTGTTTGAGCTCAGCTGGGCCAGGGCTGCTGGAGGCCCTGCAGCTGTGCTTCTCCCTAGCGGGGTTTGAGTGAGTTCGTAAGTCTCAGCTGAGGGGCTACTTAGCAGACACCCACAGGCACTGAGGAAGCAGAGACTCTCACGCTAGCGCAGTGGGAGATGGGGTTGCAGGGAGAGGTGATATTGCATTTTAGCTGCTCTCCTGCACCAGTCTGCGCAGCGTGCAGCCAGCTTGGGGCAACGCCCTGCATCAAAAGGGCTAAATTCCTGCAGCATTCACAAGCAGACGAGCCTCCCTGCTTTATAAAGAGATTGTTCCCTTCTTGCTGGGTGCCCATCACAGTCTCCAGGAGCTTTATTTGGAGAGCAGTGCCTGCTCCAGCCTGCGGGTTCAGGCGGTTGTGGGTTAGTGCAGCCAGCATGATGGAAGGGTCATGTCCAGCCAGCTGGATTTCCCAGTCCCTGGGGGAGATACAGGAAAATGTCCAACACAGCAGCTATGGGAGGGAGATTCCCCCTACGCACACCCGTGTCGCAGCTCAGCGTCCAGGGCGGGAGGGAGCCTGTCTTAGCATCAGTGATTTCTTTAGTGTTTCTCTCCCAGGACCCCGTTCCCTCCAAGGCGGCACGAGTCCAGTCGCCCGCTCGTAAGCTCAGCAGCGAGCTGCAGCGGTTAGTGTCGGGCTCTGAGGGCAGGTGGTCCGATGAGCTGGCAGACGATCTCCCTCGTTCCTGGCAGCGGCACGGAGACCTTGTCCTGCTGAGCGAGGACAGCTTCAGGGCCGCTCTATGGAAGCAGCTGGGTAAGAGGGGCCTGTGGCTCTTGTCTTTCAAGATGCACTAAACCAGCCTTCTCTAACCCACCTGCCCGGGGCTCTCTTCCAGGACCAGAGCTCTGGGGAACAGTGGCTTCTGCTCTGGGTGCCCGACGCGTAGCCAAGCGAGGGCGAGTATCTCCAGACGGGATGCGATCCCCGACAGTGACCCTGTTGCTGGGCCAGGATGGCTGGGTGGAGCATGTGGACAATGGAATCAGGTAGGAAGGGGGGAAATGGGGCAGCAGAAGCAGAAAGGGGCTGTGGAGCCAAGGTGCCCCTGGGAAGGGAGTGCTGATCAGCCCCGTGTTGGTGGTTCTCACTGGGCCGATGGTGTTTTCCCAGATACACGTTTGATGTCACCAGGTGCATGTTCTCTCCTGGAAACATAACAGAGAAGCTCCGGGTGGCATCGCTGCCGTGTGCAGGGGAAGTGGTAGCAGATCTCTATGCAGGTAACTGTCCTGGGGCCATGGGAGAGGCTTGGCTTCCTCCACCGCATGCCGCCGTCCTCCGGGCTTTGGGACAGGGTCCCACTCGTCCGTTCCGGTGCGTTTGCTGGGACTCCGAGAGCAGAGTCTGTGGGCCCTGGATTACTGATCCCCATCACCCCTGTCGGGGGCTGCTTCCAGACAGCAGACTGCTCTGTTTGTCCCAATGCTCATAGTTTGCTCACCTCCGCCCCGTGCCGCTGGAGTTTCTGTCCGGAAGCCAATGCTGCGAGTCAACAGCAGCTTCAGCCCCGGACTTTCACCCTCTCCTTCGAAGTTCTGCCAACAGCCTCAATCCCGTAGTTCTCTGCTGCTGAGAATGAGGCCTTCACCCTGCACCTGCGGCTTTGTTCCCACCCTGGGGGTGTGGGCACTGCGCTGTCAGCAGCGTCTCCCCTGTGCCCTCAGGGATTGGCTATTTCACGCTGCCGTACCTGGTTCATGCTGGCGCTGCCTTTGTCCACGCCTGTGAGTGGAACCCCCATGCCGTAGAGGCCCTGCGAAGGAACCTGGAACTGAATGGCGTGCAGGATCGGTGTCAGATCCACCCAGGGGATAACAGGCAGGTGAGCACGGAGCAACCCGGCCATGGCTGAGAGGTCGCGGTGGAGACGGAGGGGGCAATTCCAAGACAGCCTCTTCCGGCTTTGCAGCTGTAGGAGACAAGGACCTGGTGCATTAAGGTCTGGTCAGACCCACTCCATAGATCTAGAGCACAGAGACGAGAAGGAGCTAGTAGGTCCCATCGCCTGCAGTGTCCAGTGCCCCCCAAAAGGCCACCACTAATGGAGCTGCACACCTGTCCCTTGGGAAACTGTAGGTCTGTCTCCCTGTCAGGTCTCCAGTCTGGCTAGCCCGCAGGTCCAGCTCAGCCCACTGCTCTTAGAGGCATCCCCATGCACCTTTCTAAATAACTCACACGTCACACACTTGCCCCTGGGTATCAGATTTTGCTACATACTTAGTCGTTGTTCCAGCCAAGCTGTCCCGACGCTCAGCTTTGTTATTGTCATTGGTAATGCCGTAGTGCCTAGCAGCCCTAGTAGGGGACTGGGATCCCCCTGGCTTGCTGCTGCACAAACTCAGGTGGTCCCTGAAACAAAGAGCCTCCAAAAGCTTCCGAGGGGGAGCCGAGTGAGTCTGTAACTGGAAAAACGTAAACAAGGAATAGTCAGGCAGCACCTTAAAGGCTAACGAAACATGTCGCCGGTGTCGTGAGCTTTCGTGGGCACGGCCCACTTTCAGCTGAAGAGGTGGCTTGTGCCCACGAAAGCTCACGACACCAAAGAGCCTTCAGTCCATCTTGATGGCCGTGTCTGTCTGCCGGAACACACGGGCTCTTGCGTGCTGCAGCCAAGCAGGTCGACTTTCAGGGAATATTCTTGGCCTCGGTGGGCAAAACCCTCTTGGGTTTAATGAAAATTGGGGAGCCAGAAGGGGGAGATGAGGGATCCGCAGAGCCCTGGAATCTGGGGAGCAGACCCAGCACCTCACGTGCCTCCGTAATGGTCTGTAGCTCGCAGAACACTTGGATGGCATTCAGTTCCTTCGGCTCACCAGTGAATCCTCCCAGGGCTGGCTCAGAATGACTCACCTCCACCCCAAGGAGATGAGCATGGCATGGGGGGACACAGCCCTCGGGGGAGACCCGGGCGTGGGGGTAAAGGAGGGGAATGGAAAGCACAGGGAGCTTGCCGGGGGAATGGAGGCGTGCCAGGAGCATGTGCAAGAAACTTGGCCTACAGAACCAATGATGCGTCGGACCAGTTAGTTAATTCTCAGATGGACGGGGCTCTGGGGAAGGGATATGAGGAGACACAAGGGCAGTGCTGGGGCTTTGAGCTTCTGGAGAAGCCCAGTTTACTCCCAACGCCAAGCAAGAGCATGTGAGCTGTGCCCACTTGCACCCACCCCTTCCTATGGCAGAGAGCAAGAGACAGAGCTATGGCCGCCTTTATATGCTGCACCCCTGAGGCAAAGAGAACCTCTCCGTGCCCGGCAGTGCCTCAACTGGTGTATTCTCCCTTCCCCACATGGGGCTCTCTGTGCTGTATGTCCTCTCACCGTGACACCATCCTCACCTGTCCCTGTTGTTTGCAGCTTGAGCTGCGGGACGTGGCCGACAGAGTGAACCTGGGGCTGCTCCCCAGCTCGGAGGAGGGCTGGCCAATCGCCTGCCAGCTTTTGCGGAAGGGCACAGGGGGCATTCTCCACATCCACCAGAACGTGGAGTCCTTCCCGGCGAAGGCTCTTCATTTGCACAGTGGCCACTTGGAGGAGCAGCAGCTGCAGCAATGTCCGGAGCAAGCTTTCTCCAACAGGCAGGAGGACCAGAGGAACTGCAGGAACCCAAAGGATGCGGACCGCACGGATTCTGGGAGAGAGACCCCGGCAGCCATGGCCAGGGCCGAGTGGCAGAGATGGGCAGAGACCACGGGAGCACGGATCAGAATCCTGCTTCAGCAGCTGCACGGGAAGCCCTGGAGGACCAACATTCTGCACATTGAGCCAGTGAAATCCTACGCTCCCCATGTGGATCACGTTGTCCTTGATCTGGAGTGCCGCCCCCTCTCTTAGGTCACTGGGAGAGTGGATTGCACCCTTGGGGTCGCCGGGGATGTCACCACCTCTGCTAGCAAACAGGCAGGGAGCTCAGGGCCCAAGCCTGAGAAGAACACAAAGGCTACGCGGACGTGAGCGTTCCCAGACAGCACCCTGCGAACTGGTGTAGTGCGACTCCGGTCTTTGCCTTTTGCTCTCCTGGGTCCCCACTTCTCTCTAGACAGGCATGGAACAGCTTGACCTGACCATCTCGGTGCATCCCTGCTCTCTGCGACCTTCACTCTATTTCAGTTTGCTGCAGCCAAGGAAAACACTGGATGTGGGTTTTAGCTGCGTGGGTCGCATCTTGCTGTTTTTCCCAGCAGGATGGCAGAGTTCTCTAGCACTTCGCTCCTCGTTCTGTTCTCCCCGCTGATGCCCGGAGGAGACCTGGGCACGAAACTTAGCAGAATGTCTCTGTGCAGTTTCATCACTTGAGCCAGAGAGCATCTCAGTTCTGCGCAGAGCCTGCCAGTGGTGCCAGACTGAGACTCACCAGACTTACGGCCCTTGTGATGTAATCCGAAGCAAATGGTATTCGTTTGCTCCGGATAGGTGAAGAACTCGGGGATGTAGTGCAGGCCATGTGAGCGCTGACCTTGCTCCCTCTGCAGTACGGCCCTGATCTTGCAGTCAGATCCCCGCTGAAGCAGATGGGACGTACTGTGGATTAATTGTGTGTACTTTATCACAGCCGGTAAGAACTTTCCTGTTTCTTTGCATGTAAGGGAGTTTATTCATCCTCTTGTTCCAAGTCTGGACCTGAAGTTATCTTGTTTGCCCATAAGTTTCAGGAAGCCCTGGCAAGCAGTTCCTCTGCTGCTCCTAGGGATTTGAGCCTGTTTTTATGTGAAATGGTGGGAAATGATGAGTGTGGCACTGCTGAAGGTGCCAAACTGAGATCTCTGGAAACCAAAGCCTCTCCCACAGAAAAGGTGCAGAGGCAAGGCAAGATTTCCAAACCCAGCAATTCAGTCTCATTCTTGGCCTGGATGGGACATAGGAACTGGCAAACTGGATCATGTCAGCGCTGTACCTAGTCTCCCGTCTCCAAGAGTAGCCAGTGCAAGATGCCTCAGAGAAGGGCGCCAAAAGCAAGTTATGAAATATCCTGCCCACAATAATAATTTCTTCCTGATCTCTGTTTGTTAGAAGCTGGTTTGTGCCCTGAAGCAGGGAGGGGGGCTTAATCCCATCCAAACAGAAAGGGATCTAGGGGTTATAGTGGACCACAAGCTGAATATGAGTCAGCAGTGTGATGCTGTGGCAAAAAAGCAAACGTGATTCTGGGATGCATTAACAGGTGTGTTGTGAGCAAGACACGAGAAGTCATTCTTCCGCTCTACTCTGCGCTGGTTAGGCCTCAGTTGGAGTATTGTGTCCAGTTCTGGGCACCACATTTCAAGAAAGATGTGGAGAAATTGGAGAGGGTCCAGAGAAGAGCAACAAGAATGATTAAAGGTCTAGAGAACATGAGCTATGAGGAAGGCTGAAAGAACTGGGCTTGTTTAGTTTAGAAAAGAGAAGACTGAGGGGGGACATGATAGCTGTTTTCAGGTATCTAAAAGGGTGTCATAAGGAGGAGGGAGAAAACTTGTTCATCTTGACCTCTGAGGATAGGACAAGAAGCAATGGGCTTAAACTGCAGCAAGGGAGGTTTAGGTTGGATGTTAGGAAAAAGTTCCTGACTGTCAGGGCAGTTAAACACTGGAATAAATTGCCCAGGGAGGTTGTGGAATCTCCATCTCTGGAGATATTTAAGAGTAGGTTAGATAAATGTCTATCAGGGATGGTCTAGACAGTATTTGGTCCTGCCACGAGGGCAGGGGACTGGACTCGATGACCTTTTGAGGTCCCTTCCAATCCTAGTATTCTATGATTCTTTGAAACCTCTGTATTATTGGCAAACCTCACCGTGCTAACTGTGGATATTCTTGTGATGCTAGTGCTTGCTGTTGTGAGGCCAATCCTTGCTGAGGTAAGTGAGAGCTTGTGGCAGTGAGTTCCACAGATGAATTGTGGACTGAGTGGAAAAAGTATTCACCACCTTTCACTTTCATGTGGTGTCCCCTGGCTCTTCTAGAGCGAGCCAGGGCGGAGAGAGCTCCTGATCTGCCGCCTTGATACCATTCATTGCCACGTCCTCTCGTGATTAATGGTGAGAGGGGAGCTGCCCATTTAATCCTTGGCCTTGATTTAGAAACTGCCAGAGAAGAAATTGGGCTTCTCAAAGGAGCTACCTGTTCACTAGGAACTGAACCAAAACCACCGGGTTGATTTCACAGAGCTTGCTGCTTAGCAGCCATGCAGTGGCAGTGACTTTTAATTACTTCTGACCTAAGCTGCATTCAGGCTTGGACTGAGAGATGAAAGATTCTGAGTCTCTCTTCCAGTTGCCTGCTTTTTATGGAAGGACAATTGCTCTTGCTTAGCCAGGGAGCAGGCTGAGTGAAGGGCTCATGCAGCAGGCCACTCTACGTAGTGTTGTTAGGGTTCCCTTTGTCCCTACCAGTGCCCTCCCCCCCAGCCCTCAAAACCGTACAGACTGTAAGGAAGGACCCCGGGGCGAAGTAAGTCTCCACAAGAAGCACGAAAGCAGGGTTTTAAAAGTGTATCGAGCTGTGAGTGGGGTCACGTGCTGATCTGAGCACAGTGGCTGTTCATTAGTGAGCAGTTTTAAAGTCTTATAAATATTTCCGAAAGTTTGTTTGTTTGTGTGTTTGTTCCGAAAGATCTCCGAAACTTTAAGAGCTAGAAACACCAAATTTTGAATGGATACTACTGATTTCCTAACTTAAATAACTGCATTGGTTTGTCTCGAAATTGGATCCCCCGGTTCCCCCACAGCCCCAATTGGGCCCACTGATCATTAGCTTAGATCTCTGAAACGGTAACAGCTAGAAATACCAAATTTTGCATGGATACTACTGATTTCCTAACTTCAATAACTGGATTGATTATATCTCAAAATTGGGTCCCACAGACCCCCAATTGGGCCACTAATTAGCTTTTAGTAGCTCCTGATCATAGGCATTTGCTGGGAAACACCAAATTTGGAACTGATACTACTGATTTTCTAACTTAAATAACTAGATTGGTTATATCTGGAAATTGGTTCCCCCAGAACCCCAATTGGGCCCACTGATAATCAGCTTTTAGTAGCGCCTGATCATAGAAACACAAAATTTTGCACGGACACTACTGATGTCCTAACTTCAATAACTGGATCGGTTATAGCTCGAAATCAGGTCCCCCAGAGCCCCAGTTGGGCCACTAATTAGCTTTTAGTAGCGCCTGATCATAGGCATTTTCTGGACTCTTCTGTTAAGCGTGTCACACAAACTGCAGCTACGAGATCCTTTCACTAAGATGCAAGAAAAAGTATTTCCAATATACAGGCAGTCCCCGGGTTACGTACAAGATAGGGACCGTAGGTTTGTTCTTAAGTTGAATTTGTATGCAAGTCGGAACTGGTACATATTGTAGGGGAAACTCTAGCCAAACATTTCTCCAGAGCTCAGTTTTATTCTTCCACACCTCACTTCCCTCAGTCCTTTATTCTCAAGCTGAGGTGTCTGCTGAGAAAAGCCGCTCTGCGTCTCCCTGGTCTGCTGGGGGGAAGCAGCTAGTGCGGAGTTGCCTCACCCCGTTTGTAAGTAGGGATCCGATGTAAGTCGGATCCATGTAACCCGGGGACTGCCTGTAATGTTGTTAACATAATTTACGTAGTTCATTCACCACACCTTTTGTTAGCAAGAAATGAGTTACGTATAAATGCGTTTTCTAAGCACATCACTAGCTATGTTAATTTCTTAAAGTCATATATAAGAGAAAAGTATTTCCAATAAAATATGCTATGTTAATGTCATTGGCGTAGTTCATTCATCACACCTTTTCCTATATTTTCCCCAGGCATTTCTGCTAGTAACAAATATGATGAAGTGATGGGCTGTGGTGGCTTTTTCTTCCCTGGTTCAACTGAGTTGCCATGGCTACCAAATCAGAGATGGTCACTGTGTGCGCTAAGCCCTGGCGGGGGAAAGGCGGGGGTTGTGGCACTGAGAATCAGCTGCCCTACCTGTCCCAGATCAGCTCTGTGTGTTCCTCCCCAAGTCACTGGCTGTTCCTTTGCCGAGTCCTTACCCACAAAGGGATTGCCCACTCCACACCTCGATGTGCCGTGGGCCTGTGTGCGGTGTTGGGAAGGCAAGTGATGGGAGCCCCCAGTGGTGTCCCGCAAGCCAAGGTGTCGACCTAGGATAGTCAGGAGTAGGGGAAAATGACCCTCGCACCTTGTGATGAGCGAGACGTGGCTGCCCCCCTTTGTAACGTAGCCACATAGCTGGTGCCCATAGAAAATGCATGGAATGGAGAGCTCACACGGTATTCCCCGTTCTCATCTGCTCCTTTTCTTTGCCCACTATTTATTTTGAGACTGGCAGCATGCGGCCTGGCCCTTGTGCAGGAAGCAGAGCAGTTGGCTGGTGTATTTAAGCCTCTAGTTCTGATTGCACACTGGAAGTCAGGCTGCACACCGGCGTGTCACTGGCCGCCAGCCCCTTGCCATCCAAATGGCAGAGCCTTTTAGTCAAGTAGATGCAGGCCAGTAAGGGGAATGATGAAACTGGTCAGTGACATGTAACTTAGTCAACAACGTGGGAGTCTCACACAGGGGACAATGTGAGCCCAGGCCAGCTGGACAGGTGGCTAAAACGTGCACAGCTGCAGCAACTATTTGGATCCCCGGAGCCTTAGAGTCTCCGGCCAAATAGTCCAGCCCAAGAGGTCACACCCTGTAACTAGATGCCTGCTTGCCTGTCTGGGAGCTGTTGCCTTAGAGAGCACAATAGCTGCTTGCATTCATCAGTTTCCTTCGCTGTGTGTACACATCCTGCTGATACTGCTGTGACCTGGGCCGCCCAGGTGTTACATACACGCCCGACGATTGCCAACCTCCTACGCGTCTGACTGTCCTCTTTGAAATGTTGCCGTCTAAAAACAACTGGAATAATGATCTCCACTGGTGAGTGTGAGGCTGATAGCACTGATGACACCCAATTACACGATGTAGGACAGATGGGTATGGTAAGTGCTGCACCTTTGCACCTGAATGCTGGCCTTAAAGCATCCCTAGAACCAGTGTTGTGCCCCAAACAGTTCTGCTAACACAGCTTGATCCTGAGTGGCAGCAAACTCAGTTCTGATCGATAACACTTCAGACTGTTTTTGGGGAATGCATCTTGTCCCTCTGTTATTCCCGGCTTAGGTTCTCCCAGACTTGCTACCCCTGTCCCATCTCACTGCCCTTACCCTGTGCATGGTGACCTGAGATCTGGTTGAGGGGGAGTGTGTGTGTGTGTGTGGGGGGGGGTGTCTCATGTAGTGTTAACTCTGGCTCATTACAGGCAGAGCATTGTCTTTATGTGCTTCCCTCCCCCTTTATCTGTTCCCTGCAGGAGGCTGAGAACTCCCCACAGGGTGGTTCTATGTGCATTCCTGGGGCTCTCCTTTGTAACACAGAGATAGAGCCGGTGTAAATGAGGATGACTCATGTGTGTTTTATGAGCCACCTCCCCGCGGCACAGCATGTCACTGAATCTGGAGCAGTGCCTTAGAGTAGCAAGTGGATTCCTTTTAGGGCTTTCTGGGATGGGTAAGTGGAAGAGCCACAGAGGGGGCTGCTGGGGGAAGGAATGGCCAGGTAATGCAGGCCTGGTTTGGGGATCAGCCAAGCAGAGTGCTGTGTGTTCCTGTTGTTTCCCTCTGCTGAGGGCGAGCTTTGCAGAC